ATAAAAACCACCATTGTCGCCAAGGAGAGAGAGGCCCCTAACAGGGATACAAGTGTTAGAGCTATTCCCATGGGCTCATGATATTTCAGGAACTCAATTATTCTAGGGATGCACTCATCTTTTCTCTCATTGGACCAGTATTCCTTTGGACAAGGTGTGCAGTCTGCTGAACCTATTGAGGATAAACAGAAAGGGTAAGTGATGTATGTATGTAGATAACATTTTAATAGAATATAAAATTGTACTTGGAATTGTAATAAATTAAAATAAAATCATATCATGCAGTAAGACAATATTTTAAATATTAGTTATATGTAGACACTAAACAAGCATGTTAAATTGTACACTTTTGACTTAATATGGCACATGCACTCATGTTATTGATCCCTTGTCTACCTGTTGAGTTGGCTATAGTTCCATCAGCACAGGGTACACAGTCAAAACAACATATAGGTTTTCCCTGAATTTGAGCTTTTCTGGTACCAACTGGGCAAACATTAGAACACACTGATGTGGGGACCTGTGACAAAAGAAATATTTAAGTATTGTAGAGGTAAATGATTATGTGTTAACAAGAGAATACTAAAGGATGAGATACTAAAAGTGTACTGCATGTAAAAATAGAGAGACATCATGATTACTGTTTTTCCTGTCCTCCACACTATCTTTTCCTCCTCGATGCTGAGCTTGTAATCACCATTTGCAGCAAATGTCAAATGACCAAGTGTCACATGTTGCACTTTTCCATTTATCAACTGCCAGTTAATAACATCATAAGAAGCAGGAGGATCGCCATTCTCATCAAAAAACACCTCATCACCAAACTGATTTGTGAAATTCACCCTTTGTAATTTTTTACTGACCTACAGAGGAAAAGATAATGCATTAGATACATATAAATATTCAATTATTGGTTTTGTTTAAACAATTTCAACGATTGAAGCTTTCAGCTGCACTATTTCTCACCTCCTTGGGTTGAATATCTGTCAGGTTTAAACATCGCTTTACTGTTTGTGCTCCAACTGGTTGGCAAAATACCAGCTGATGCAGAGCATGTGCAATAGCATAAACCGCTTTATACACATTATAGGTCACTCTGAGCTCTGTGACATTGAAGAAATCATCCTCGGAATTCATTAATGTTTCATTGCCTGTACATCTTTTCGTTGTGTCCTCAGTAGCTGCATGTACCCCTGGCAAAACAGGTGTGCAGCCCACCATAATCTCCCAGAAATCCCTCACGAAAGGTGCATTGGGATCTGTATAAGGACTAATACTTGTAAGAAAGTGATTAAGCTTAGGAATAGCCATCTTCTGCATTACAAATCCCACTGTTCCGCCAAAGGATCTATACATTTCAGGCGTGGAGGGTCGAGATGATGTTATCCAAGCCACACAAGAAATCCACTGAATTCCTGTAATGTTCTGGTTCACAATCTCTTGCATCAAAGGATAAAAGTCACCATCAACAGAAAAAGCTAAAATTACTTTGACAGACGACTGTTTAATTATTTCCACAACTTCTAGAAATTCATCTCTTGTGTACGTGCGTAGAACTGATGCAACAAAAGCGACACAAACCCCAAACTTTTCAACCTCCTCCTTAAAAGCAAGAATTCCATTACGTCCATAATCATTGTCTGACTGTATGGCTCCAATCCACTGCCATCCAAAATGTTTGACCAGTGCAGCCAAAGCTTTTGCCTGGAAATAGTCGCTGGGGATTGTTCTAAAAAATGTAGGATATTTAGTTCTGTCACTCAGACAAGCACACGTTGAG